TGAGAAAGGAGTCCAGAGACACAACAACACCATGTGGACACAGATTCATTGTTGTGGCCTATGCATCATAGTGTAGGCCCTTTCTGTGTTCCTCATCTCATGAAATATAGCAAAATACCTTCCACTCCAACTCTCAGTGTCTGAAAATACAACTGACAGGCAGAAGTATGCAATCCAGATCAGCCTGAATGACTCACAGTGCGCAATTTACCAATATCTGTCAATGCAGGTCACTATCTACAAGGAGTTTGCAGGTTCTCCCTGTGCTTGCGTGGGTTTCCTCCGGGTACTCCCACACTCCGAAGACATGCTGGTAGGTTAATTGGCTCCTGTCTAAATTTGCCCTTAGATTGTAAGCTCCTTGAGGGCAGGGACTGATGTGAACGTGCACTGTGTAAAGAGCTGCGTAAATTGTTGGGGCTATATAAATACCAATAAGAAATAAATAAATAAAATGGCTAGAGACACCACTGTATATATCCCTATTGAAGAGGTTATACGCTGAGTGAATTTTGAATGGTCCTTGAACTGGCCAAAATTAGATCAGTGGTTGGCCCTGTATGCTGGCTCCCTCCAAACATTGAAAAATCGAAGGAGCCAGGCAGAAAATTGTTGGCTGAATAATGCCTGTATCTAATCAGATGCAGGCACTGTTTAGTTATTTTGACAACCATAAGAGCCAACTGTCAAAAAACAAGAGCCGTAGTGGGAGATTTCCCCTTTCATACTGTTAAGCATGGATGGAGGAATCTGTTAGTTCTTTCTGTTCAGCCTGAAATCAGAATAGAAAAAAATCTAACAGTATATATCCAACTTTACTTGTATGGCCAGTAGGACAGGAAGTCAGGTGAAATCTTGCCAACACGGATGCAATAACAACATGACATATTTTATAATCACGTTAATCAAATCAATAAAGACATTTTTTCTGCAGCTGGTTTTAAACACAAATTCAACATAGTAAGACAGAATCTCATGATTACAAAAATCACCATTATGCACATATACAAGGGTAGTCACGTGGCATTGTTCTTTAATGCTCTTCATGCAATTGTTCTTCAATCAAAGACCTATAAAAAAGTGGACCTTTACCCCCGTTTACTAACAATCACCTCAGCATACAGCTCTGCATACTGATATAAAATCATCTTAAAGGAGAACTATGGGGTCAGTGTTTTTCCCCATAATTCTCCTTAGGGTAACGGGAGGACACAAACTAGCGTCCTCCCGTTACCCTAAGCTCAGTATACCACGAGCTACAGCTCGCTGTATACTGAGACGCTGCAGCCGGAGCGGATCCCGACTTAGATGACGGGATCCGCCCAGCTGCGTGAGTGACAGCTGGCTCTGCCTCTAGATAGGCAGAGCCAGCTGTCACTCACGCAGCTGGGCGGATCCCGTCATCTAAGTCGGGATCCGCTCCGGCTGCAGCGTCTCAGTATACCGCGAGCTACAGCTCGCGGTATACTGAGCTTAGGGGAACGGGAGGACGCTAGTTTGTGTCCTCCCGTTACCCTAAGGAGAATTATGGGGAAAAACACTGACCCCATAGTTCTCCTTTAAATTCATCAGTTAAACAAACTTGTTTTTCATTTACTTACAAATTGAGTTAATCTACTTCCACTTTGGTCCACTTTGGCACACATTATGTAATTGTGGCCAAGCATTGCAGCCTGGGAAGGTTACTGTTTTATGTGGTAATAATGACAGTATAAGCCGTTAGTGTACAGAAGTCATGTTCTTAGAAGAGAACCCACAGAACAGGAACAGGAAACGCATCACAGGAAACAAGTGCCACAGAGATGAATCATAGAGTTGCATATAAACTAAACATAACACTCATAACAGTTACATCAGCAGAGCATTGCTAGGAAATCTCATCTGTAATCTCAGGAGATCTCAGGGAAAGGCATTTTCCTCTCTTGAGATGATGTGCATGGTCACATGTCCTAGTCACATGTGCCAAAATTCGAAAGTGTGAAAACGTGAATGGGCCCTGAGAATGGATTTAGATCTTACTGCAAAGCACATAACTGATGTTAACTCACATGTGGCACATTATAAATGGTCTGCCAATGCATGTCAACAAATGAAAAAAAGACAGGACCATTTGTTCAACACAGCATACCACAACACTTGGTATGGGTTTTATCATGTGCATCAGTGCAGCTGCATGGCCCACCACTGTTTTAGTGTGTAGGGGTGCCATGTTTTGCAGGTCGGAATTGGCTCTAAATGTTTTTACTAGTTGTCATAAGACGGAGGATGTGATACATAGCAATTGTGTCACAAATGTAACTGCCACATCTTGCCACAGAAACCAACTTAGTGGAAATAGTTTTTGTATGTTGTCCTATATAGGTTGTAGTGTTTTTATGAGATACAGTACATGCACTGACTTTACCTTATGACTTACTTTTAGAGAAATGAAAGGTTCAGATTTTAGTGGGACAGTTAGCAGATGCATCCTGTCTTTAGAGATAAACAGATCTGTGTAGCCTGTATACCAGATAAATATCTAAAACAGTTTGAATATTTTCCTACCACAGTATATTTTACAAAAAGTACACTGATCCTCTTAAGTGTACAACACTGTGAAAGGAGTGCCACCATTATATATGGGTATGAGTAAAAAAGATAAGTGTCACCGACGTAAGTAAAATAGATAAGTGCCACTGTTATATATGCACATGAGTAAAATAGATAAGTATGACTGTTATATATGTACATGCGTAAAATAGATCAGTGCCAGCTTTATATATGCACATGAGTAAAATAGATAAGTGTGACTGTTTTATATGCACATGCGTAAAATAGATCAGGGCCAGCTTTATATATGCACATGTGTAAAATAGATAATGTGACTGTTTTATATGCACATGCGTAAAATAGATCAGGGCCAGCTTTATATATGCACATGTGTAAAATAGATAAGTGCGACTGTTATATATGCACATGTGTAAAATAGATCAGTGCCAGCTTTATATATGCACATGCATAAAATAGATAATTGACACTGTTATATATGCACATGCGTAAAATAGATAAGTGCCAAATATATATACGCACATGAGTAAAATAGATAAGAGCTAGCATTATATATGCACATGAGTAAAATAGATAAGTGCCACTGTTATATATGCACATGAGTAAAAATAGATACGTGCCACTGTTATACAGGTGAAACTCGAATAATTAGAATATCGTGCAAAAGTTCATTTATTTCACTAATGCAACTTAATTTCGAACATGCTGGTTCGACAGAAGACGTGCGACTGTACAGTAGAAACGGTCGCACGTCTCCGTTCACACTGCTCGATTATCGTACGAAAAACCGATCGCATACGATTATCGTACGATAATCGTGCAGTGTATGGGCACCTTCAGTCTGGTTCAGTAGGAATCACAATCATGGGAAAGACTGCTGACCTGGCAGTTGTGCAGAAAACCCTCCATAAGAAGGGAAAGCCTCAAAAGGTCATTGCAAAAGAAGTTGGATGTTCCCAAAGTGCTGTATCAAAGCACATTAATAGAAAGTTATGTGGAAGGGAAAAGTGTGGAAGAAAAAGGTGCACAAGCAGCAGGGATTTCCTATTCTAATTATTCGAGTTTCACCTGTATATGCACATGAGTAAAATAGATAAGTGCCACTGTTATATATGCACATATACTGTAATATATGCACATATTATATATGCACATGAGTAAAATAGATAAGTGCCACTGTTATATATGCACATGAGTAAAATAGATAAGTGCCACTGTTATATATGCACATGAGTAAAATAGATAAGTACAACCGTTATAAATGGACATGAGTAAACTCAATAAGTGTCCCCATTGTATGTGTACATGAATAAAATAGATAAGGGCCAGCTTTATGTGTGTACAAGAATAATGAATGTACACCACCAGAGTATATATATATATATACAATCCTATGCTACAGATTCTGTAGTAAACAGACCAACACCCTGGGATTCTCAGATTCCAATTAGTTTATTAGAAGTGTAAAATCAGACAGCAAACAAAGAATGCCAGAATGCATTGACACGTTTCACATGTCTATGCACACTCATAAGGCTACTTATACATTGGTCATCAGATTATATAAGAAAACATTGCTTATCTATACTCTGGTGATCTGGGAACGTGTTTATCTCACCTGTTGGTAATGTAGGAAAATAATTCCAGCACAATTAGACTGTAGCCCCATCTCCAGAAGCATCATGTATCAAAGTACTAGTAATAAGATTTACTCTTAGGTACTATCATAGCAACCAACTAGATTTAAAGCTGAACTCTATATGGAACAGAGTAAGGAGGAGTTAAAATGCTTCCAGATTTTATTTATTTATTTATCATGCTGTTCCATTGTGGAGATTTCCCTTCACTTCCCTATGAGACACATCAAGAAGCGAGGGGAAATCTCCTCTTAGACAGTTTTCTTTGGAAGATTTCCACTTACTTCTATTTTTTTTATAGACCATAAAACTCTGGATTTCCCAGCACTTTCTGTCTTGGTGAAAATAATCACCAGGACAAACAGAATTAATCCTCTAAGTTGGGACAGAGAAAGCAATAAAAACCTCATAGAGTTTCTAACTTTTCTCTATCCATAACTAGAAGTAGTGGGCTTTAAATAAACTCTTAGACCATATTTACACTTTGCAATGTACTCTTGAATTTAGTTTTATTTTTTTTTAATTGTTAAAACAAAATCTCCCTTCCTGTGTCATAAAACTCTGTGCAAATGGTGTTTTTCTGTTAACAAAGTGCAAGAGACTATGACGTTTAGATTGCGTGTTTGGTGGTTGCAATGTTGTCATATCACCTGGAGTATCGAATGTAACAAACAATAAATCGCATACATTGGGCTAGGCACTGGAAAAAAAAGGTTGTGGTTTCACTTTGCAGTTCTTTACTTCCTTTTTTTGTTTTGCTTATGTCTTGTAGACTGTACATCATTTTCCCACAAGCACGATGCACGGTACAGTTCTGACAGCTCTGCAATGTAAAGGTAAGCTTTACCTTTTTTCTCTTTCTTTTATGTATATAGATCTCGTAAAAAAAGCCTTTAAAATATTCATACTAATCATACTGTGAAAGGGAAGATGGGAAAAGTATAGCAACACACAGTGATAATTTATCATTTAGACACACTCTCTGCAAACTATTGCTTATTACCTAAATATATTTGTTTTTAAGCAAATTTGCAAATAATTTATAGCTAGTACACTGGCAGCATACATGGACACCTGACACCTAAAAAGGTCTGTAGGGAATTTCATAAAATATACAGAATCCGGAGCACTAAAATCTAATATAATCGATTATACAGATACTGACTTTAGTTTCTGAAGTCAGAACTATAACTCTCTCCCTCCTGCAGTTTGCTATCTATCAGTGAGGATACCCATCACAGAAATGGACTACTGATGAAGTTCTGAATGTAAAAGGGGTCGGCCCAAAGTCCTGATTTAGGAAACTCAGCATGTGCATAAGTGCTCGGCCAGGTAGGCTTAACTACCTGCTTGCTCCCTATATGTCTCGCCAGTTATGGTCAATTCTAAAGGACATTCTACTTATATTTCTTATTTTAACTGTAAAATGTGAACAACTTCTGCGTCCAGCGTACATTTAACACAAATTCATATCTCTGCAGTTAAGTTCTATGCTTTTTTTACTTGCAGCATTTTTTAAACATGCCGAAAGCTCACCACAGCAAATTAAAATTGTCAGTTTCCATTGTTAGTGTGTCATTGATGCAGTAGGTTTATGTCATTTGGGTGTACAGGAATTTGTGATATAAGAAGTTTCTACTCTGTAGCTGTAGTTTCTACTCTGTAGAGCAATAAAGTTTTTGAGTTATGACCATAAGGAGCAAATGATTAGGCATTAGGCCAGTAAGGTGCATTCTATGGGTTGCCCGTACAGGTCTACTTAGCTCATTGGCCTATTGCATATTGCATATCAATTTTCTCTTCTGTATCTCGCCAGTGCAAACGCAATACTACAGTCAGCTGGCACAGCAAAAAGAGATGTAAACACAGCTGCCATTCCTTGCTTCTGTGACCTTCCGCAGAAACAAGTCTCTGGTCTGTTGTAGGTGTTGGCGAGGGCAGGGGAGTGCTTAGAGAGTTCTGCTTCAAAGTGGACCCATCATTATAATTCACACATCAACAAGGCACATGTCAGCATTACCAATTTGCATTCATATTTTGAGTGTAAACTACCTTTTTGTAAAAGAAACTAAATTCTTCCCCCAAATAGCTTAGACTAGGTTAAGATCACATGGACTTTAGCTAATACTTTATGAGAGCTTCAAGTCATTAAAGTCTGCAGTGCATCTACTGTTTCCAGATACATCCTGTCTGGGAGACTTGCAATAACATATAAGTGCCAACATGGCACAACCATTACACTTGTACATCTATAAAAACCAACCAGTCAAAATATTAACATCTAATAAGATCATTTGTATTAAGCTGATCTCTTTCACATCCAACATTATTAAAATTCTACAAGTCCCCTTTAACACTAAACCCAAAAATGTTATATATTGCAGCTTACAAGCCCTTAAATGTGGCTGTTGCATTACTTTCCTTTTTCTGACTTTTGTTGCCTTTTGTTTTAACTGGTGATCCTGCTAGTATCACATTTCCTGTGAATGCAATATATTTATGGAGAAACAGCATTGTTACCATGGGCTTCTCATCATCTACTTTAGAGTGAGGAGGTGTCCTGTAGTTCACAGTAGAAAACTGGGAATGCTAAAAATATTGTATGAAATTTTAGTTCACAGAAAATTATAAGGATACAAGATTTCTAGCAAGATCAACATGTATTTTTCTGTACTTGCAAATGATGTACTAAAAAAATAAAACTAATGCACCCATCACATCTAAGGGTGGGTAAGTTGAAATGTATTATATTGTATTTCTTGGGTGTAAACTGTAAATACTGTATCTAACCCTGTTTGTAAACTCTCCTATGTTAAGAAAACCTATGTCAAGAAAAGTTACTTCCACTTTTAGTATTTCTTTCACTATACCTCTAATCTTACTGAATACCTGTTCCACGGACCCTAGCACTAGCAGGGCCAGTTTTACCATTAGGCACAGCAGGCCGGTGCCTATTCCTAGCAGAGGCAGTTTTTTTCTGCACATTTATCAACCATCTATTTCTTTACATCATCTGCAGCAATACAGCCATCTCATATAAGTCTATTTACACATTGGCACAATATTGATTGCTAAGGACCAGTAAAACAAGAAAATGTTCTTTGTAAAAGAAGTGACTCTAGTATAGAGGTGATTCTTCAGACACGGAAGGCTGTGTGCCTACACAATCCAGTGATGAAAAGCCAGCTTTGGGCACCATCTTGGAATAACCATTCTTTGGCTACCAAATTCTTCCTCAATTTTGATGCTGGCCAACAGACACTGCAATGTAGTAAATTTGACACCTAAGCAAATTGGTTAAAAGACCTGACAGCAGACTTCATACATCAGTCTGGCACTCTGTGGCATCTAACAGATCTTTATGTGTACATTGCATATGCACAGCATGAAAAGGGAAGGACAAAGCTGAATAAACAAATTACATTGAGATATTTTACTGGAGTTGCATGCAAATTATAAGTAAGCTATTTTTACATTCTCGCCATGCTCCATTTTGACTCGTATTCTGTAATAAAGATTAGAGGACTTTTTTAATTTACAAAAAAATATTAAAACAAACATCTTAGTTGTTGTATGAAGTAACATTTTGTAACAAAAGGGACATTTCCTTTATTCATTTTATGTAATCTGTTACATATTCTTATAGTTTTGGTGTCGGGCTGATTCATTGAGGCATATCTGATACAGTATTGTATCACACAAAAAAACTCTGGATGTCAGTTAATATGCAAGAGACAAAATTACTGTAACACTTGAGAGTCATAACTCATTTTGATGTGCAACTGACGACAGAAATTCCCTGTTAAGTTTCTAATGAATTCCACTATACAAGACCGTTTTTGTGGTTAGCACATTTATTATAACCACAAGATACATCAGATAATGATCTTTCAAATTTGTTTTGGCTTGACTACAAATATTGCATAGTTAACTAGTAAGGCTGGAAAAGACAAGTTCCTCAAGTTCAAACACTAGGGAAACAAAGCACCTTGCAAATTCAGAAGCCTAAATTCTAAGTTTATCCAAAGGAAGTCAAAACATTCATAAAATATAGTAATAGTAATGTTCTTTAACAGGACAAAAATGATTTCCTGATCCCCTCATGGGAATGGATAACTTCCTGTATCAACAATATACAGTGTTATTTCTCATAAAAAAGAAAAGATGTGTTTAGAAGCCATTTGCTAAGACAGCCAGAATCAGTTCCAGTGGAAAACTACTGTATATTTTCACAGCTTTTACAGTAAAGAACCCTTTTCATTTTCCAAAGTTAAACCCCTTTTTTACCAGTTGCAAATGTGCCCTTGTGTGGTATACATAAAGCGCATCTGTGCTTTGTACATTCAGGGACAAAGTAACATGTTTGTTTCATAGACTGCCCCTTTGATGCTAATTTCCTTCCCAGTACTCACCCATGACCACATTTGCCTGCTGGAGTCCCATACAATACCCAGAATTTTTGGGTATGGGGAGCAGGTAACCTTCTTCCCTTTCCCCTGCAATGCAGTGCTTGACTTGTGTGTAGCCAGGTGGATAGTCAACTGGGAATGGGGGAGGACCCTTATTTATTAATTGGCATTGCATGCTATTAAGAATGCTAAAATATACCAGGACACACTTCTCCAGCAGGCTACAAGAGATCCAAAGCATTAGATATGGGCAAGGTTGCATATATCACAGGACAATCACAGTTTAGGATTTCAGGGGAGAACACCAAGCTTTTTAACTTACAAAAAGATTATACAGAATGAACAGTGTTGTTAAAGTGAAGATTTTTAAAAAACAGCGCAAGGCCCCCTTCCAAATTTATACCAGATGCTTTAGGTCTGTACCACCACAACCACTGGATCGGGTTTATGGGGAAGAGGCCCATGTCCTCATCAACATGGTGACAGGGTGATTTGCCAGGGGTTCCCCCCTGATGAAACATCCTACCTATGTTGAGGGAATGTGACCTGGTATGGTGCAGGAAGTACTTTCCTGCTCTGCCAGGCTGCTCGGATCAAGGGTCTGGTAAGGGATTTTAGAAGGAACCCACGCATTTTTGGGGGGGCATGGAGTCCCCCCTAAAATTCCTTCCAGACCTAAAGGATGGGGTCGAATTTTGGGGAGGACCCCACACTGTTTGTTTTTTTTTTCATTTAACAACATAATAAACTCCATCCAAATGAATTTGAATTGATCTGAAACGAAAAAAAAAAATTTGGATCGATCCAAACCGAAAAAATTAATTCAGATCGATCGGAACTAAAAAGGAAGAATTAGAATCGATCTGAATTCTGAATAACAAACCAAATCGAATTTGGATATGAGATCCAAAACTAAACACATTTTTTGAGCCTTTACATGTCTACCCCCTAAGCTTCACCCTTCCTCAGCTTTTATTATTATTATTATTTATGTAATAATTCCATAATCTGCTCTACTACTGTGCAAATAAATGTATATAAAAAAGGGAGATAGTATGGCTAGTCAGATAAATAAAATTCCTCTAACACTAGTACTTACAATTTAGCAACATTTAGCAATAAAAAGCAACAACAGGAGGGCTTACAATTTTTGGGATACAGGGTAAAAACAAGAGATAGGGAAATGATTTAGCTACAGTATATACAGTATGAGGTGACAGTGTGTCTTTTGTCATATGAAGATGCTATAATGGATCTGGTATTAAATATAATAACACAGCTCAACTTGTACACTTGTTTGAAGGGGTGGGCTTTGAGGGTGCACTTGGAAATTTCAAGGGATAAAGAATCCTAAACAGGAGAAATACGAGAGAAAGGGAAAGACAAGTGAGGAAATGATCTGACTGTCTTGAAAAAGAGGACCAATA